GAAGTCAAGTGAAGTGTCCAAAACCCCCAGTTGTGCTCAGGCTGGGAGGTGTGCTACCTGCATACCCGAAGCCTTCAAATCAAATTATAAAAAAATACTCTGGTTGGTGCGCATGCCGGAGACCAGCTTTGTCAAACTTCACACTTGGTTCACATTCCTTTCCATAGGTAAGAATGCTAGAGTGCATAACGGCCTATGAAGTCAAGTGCTCAAAGCCATAGTGCCGAATGTCCACAGCCAAAAAATAAGTTTACCAAAGGTAAACATGGCCATACAGATTACAGGCCATACTCTGATGAGTGATAGTGATACTCATACAGTCATACTTATACTGCCTCTGGCCAAACCTCCTCCAACCTAGCCTTAGTAGCCTAACCTCTTCAGGCCTAACCTATACAAGCTGCAAGTACAAAAATTATAAATAAATGATGATAATGAATGAATGATATGATAGGAAATTAGGGATAAGAAAATTCTGATATGAAAATAATGAGAAAATGATGAGAAAATAATGGGAAAATGCTAGGTAAGTGATGTGATAGGAAAAATGTTGGGAAAATTATGGGTAAATGATGGAAAAATGATAGAAAATATAACTCAGTACTGAGCCCTGAGCCTGACTGCCTGAGGTACTCACTGCAGTGAGAGTGAGTGACAGAGAGTGCATCTTCTGGTCAACAAAAACGAAGTCACAGATGGACAGACAAATGACATGGCAAGCAGAATACGAGAATAGTAGGTACATTATTTTCACGAATGAGAAAATGCACTAAAATTAAAAATGATGGTGAAACAATGATAGAAATTAACTGAAGTCTGAATGTGAACTGCAGTACTAGTGTACCAGGGTAAACGCGGTATATTCCGACATCGTAGGTAAAATATGGCAACATTTTGTGACGTTTCATCGTTGCTGACGCGTAGTGAAGTGTTTTGAGAGTCATGTGAAGGCAACAGAACTTACGTAACGCATACGTTTTTTTTATAGTTTTTCATTTCTCGATGCGTCCTTAATGTGTCGGAATATACCGCGTTTACCCTACCATGCATTTCCTTTCTGGAACAGTAGAAATCACTTTCAGAATAGCTGCAGAGCTCTGAAATTTTGAGAGCATGCTCTAAAAACTGTAATCTTGATTGTAAATTATCTCTCATTAATTTCAAAGTACAATATCAAGGTTTATTTTCTGTACTAATGTTTCCCCATACACATGACACATCCCAGCTAAGCAAGTAGTTGATTGACATTCTCAAAAAACAAGCTGATGTTGTCTAAGTTCAAGTTTTTTTAATTTGTTTCCAAAATAAGTCAATTAAATTAAGCTAACGTTTGGGCAGGACTTTCAAAATTAAATACTTTGCGTGCGCCAATGCAGAAAGTGGCTGTCTGCCATTTTGCCAGCATTGTTTATATATGAGCATAGTTTGTGCACATACCTACCTCATTGTCTGCAAGAAGTTAGAAAGGTGGTCAATTGTGAGCCAGGACAGCGGGAATAGGTTAGGCCAGAAGAGGTTAGGCCGGAGTAGGTACAGCCGGATGGGGAACTGCCTGCTTATGAGCGAGCATGCTTAAGCATTGGCCGAAGACCTACGGCGCTATTATCTTCTGGCAGTATGTCGTTTGTCTGAATTACGGAGTTTAAGCATTGTCTGCGGCTTCTAGTTCTGAGACTTAGTAAAGTTAATGCATGGTAAAGTTTAAAGTTAATGCTTGGTGAAATTTTACTCTTATTTAAGTGTAAAAATTTGTGCCTACGGCTGTGCCCCCTTCTGGTTGGTGGAGAGTTGAAATTTATGTGTTGCTCAGTTGCTGCATATTCATTACTATCTCTTGCCTGGTTGGCCAGATAGTCCTTGTTTCTTATTTATGGAATTGGTTCATGAATAACTTCATCTTACTACTTCTATGGCATTCTAAGCAATTAGTTATGTCAGTGAGTAAATCTGATTTTTCTCTAACAGTCTATGAGTCTAACACTAGTAGGAGTAGCACTCTGTAGACACTAGACAGTAGTCTGTAGCAGTGTTTCAATTACCTCAGTTATTTTATTATGTTTTTTCAGATCATGTATTTATAATAGCAAATATCCTGCTGCCAAAAAAGGCTGTTGGGCTATTTGTCAATACTCAATACTAAATTTTGGGTCTGAGGTATCATGTCCTTGCCTTCTACACCAATTGGAGTCCGACGACGTTCTGCTGCAAATAATCAGGCAAGTCATATTTCAGAGGAAATTAGGTGAAGTCAAAATTTGAAAAAAATCCTACCTTTTACTAAAATATTGCAAGTTAAAAATCATATAATTTTAATGAATCTGAAATATTCATCTTCAAAAGCAATGTCAGAATTTTGGTGTAATTAGAAACCAGGCAGAAGCCTCCCATAAATGAGACAAATGTCTGTGCACCAGTAAAGGCTTTGATTTTTGTCAATTACAAGTATTTTAAAAGATTTTGCTTCTTTTATTTTTAAAAAAATGAGAAAAAATTATACATTTAAGTTTTCAATTTTTGAAAGCTGCCCTGCCCATTAAACAATAAAGGATTTTTTGTATAGAATTTATTGAAATTTTTGCCAGATATTCTTAGTTAGATTGAAAACATGGTGTCAAAGCAGACTTTTTACAAGATTTCTCTTGAACTTTACTTCGTGTTATTTGTTTGTTTATTTGACTGCTACAAATCTTAAAAGCAATACTTAACACACTTCTATTTTTCCAATCAATATGAAATTTTGCACACTTGCGTAAAGTTGAAAACAATACATGAATCATTTGACAGAATTAATAATTAAAAAATATTTTTTGATTAAAAATAATTTCTATGGATTTTATGTTGCCTCACTTTAAATATAAAATTACATTTGCTACTTTTATCAGCTATATTCAATTTCATGTCGCTGGTCATGTTTGTATTTCAGTTAGTTTATTTTATATCTATTGCTATCTTATCTTATTGTAATGTACTATAGTAATTAATAAAAAATATAACTCAGTACTCACTGCAGAGTGACAGAGAGCGCATTTTCTTGTTGACGAAAACTTGAGGTCACGGACAGCCAGACAGACAACAATAGTGCATTTTTTCCATAAATGAGAAAATGCGCTAAAAAGCATGTCTAGAAAGTCAACTTCTATATATTGTGGTTTTGAAATTAATTTTAATTGATTTGCTCAGGCCAGTGGCTGGGGAGGAAGAGAAAGCCCCACTGCAGGGGCAGCTGGTGCAAGTTGGCTTGGACAACTTGGAGGCATTGTTGGGGACATCTTGCAAGGCTGGGGGCTGCTAGGTGCTCTACGGAAAACTAGCACAGCCTCCAATTCCAGGTTAGCTTAGAACACTAAATGGAACCTCACCAGCCTTTGGGTTCTGTACATAAGTGAAAATTAAAACTTACGTATTTATTATTAAATGGATGAAGTTGATAAAAAAAGGGCTAGTAGTGAATTTTTTTCAATATTTCGGCCTATATTGCAGGTACATATTATTATTTTTTTATTTGCTTATTTATTTTACTTTTCACTACAGTAGGTCATCTCCATCGTATGGGTGGGGCAGCTTTGGAGGAGTGGGTGGGGGTTTGGGTGCTGCGGGAGGACTAGGGTGCTACTCCTCCCCCTCATCTCCCCTAGTGGCCAACAGAAACAATGGACTTTCCCTCAGTCGGGGGGAGCATATAGAACTGCTACCTATTGGGGCACAGGTGAGCTATAACTTAGAATTTATAAGCACCTTGTAATTGTCTTGTGTTTTTTTAAGAAGGAATATGGGACCGAGTTTACTGATTCTGCTTGCCTTCTGTGTTGTTTGTTCAATGTGAAATATCATGTCAGATGAGAATTACTTATCATGTTGGTAGGTATAGTGGCTGTTGAGGTCAGATGTATGTGAAATCATACTGTGCATTTTCCTCCATTTAATTCATGGCTAATAACTTCTTTATCAATATTATTTGAATCTACAATCATTGCCCTGGTAGGAACTGTGAAGTGTGTCTGGTATCTTTATTCAATTAACATTTTTGTGTAAGACATATTATTAATTTCAATTATTTTATTACTTGATTCTGTACACAAAACATATTATCAGAGAAGTTTTTCCCTTTTGCTTTTTTTTCCAATTCTTTCCAATTGCAGTTGACCTTTTTCATCCTACTGCAACTTCATCGTTTACTCACTCACTTCCATTTATTCCACTCATCAAAAATTTACTGCTGGCAAACCGTTTAGTTTCATAGTTGTTTGGGCTGGTTTTGTTTTCGTTCATTGTTCTTAACCGTACTAAATTTAGTGCATTTTGTATTGGTATATAACCTGTGCTCTTTACAGTGTGTGATTAGTGCTGGTGGTAGTGACGCTAATGCTGCTACTAGTGATAGTCTAGCCACTAGTGCTAGTGTAGTGAAGCTGCGACGAAGAAGACCTCAGTCTTGTCCCAGACACCAAGGGCGACCAGCACGTCATTCTTACCACGAGGGTTCAGCTGCCAGCTCATACCTTCTGACTTCTGTGCTCATGCACTCCCTGAAACACGGAGTCGGGCAATCTTGTCAGAAAGAGTCTAACTGCCACATTTGCAACAACGTTCCCTATGATCAACTCCAAACTCTCATGGCCGGTAAAAAATTCGAGCTTGAAGAGCTGAAAGGGGGTCGTCAACAGCTACCCAACCTCCAGGAACGATCTTGCGAGTCCATTGAGGATGACCTTGGAGAAGTGGTGAGCTGCCCAGCAGATGGCAGTGCCGGTGCGTCTCAACTGCTGGTGGAAAATTCTCGTGTAAAATCTCTAATTGTTTCCTCTGATGACGAATTCAGTGATTCATGCACGAACTGCAACCCCACCGAATACCAACTCATGGAAGACGAGTCAGACTCCATTGGTCTTTCTGATATATCTTATCACACTGCTCGGGATGGTACATTTAGCTGCTCTGGAGCTGAGGGCTGCTCGTCTGGACTAGACTTGTTAGTGTCATCACATTCTTTGACTGATGGCCACACGGACACATATCCTGCTGACACGCTCACTGAAGGACGTGATGGCAGTGATGACAGTGATGACACTCTTTACGGTCATGATGATGAGTCGCAGGAGCGCAGCTGTGACCTCAACCTTACTCCAGTCGCAAGTCCGATGAAACTTGTCCCCAGGAAGCTGACGATGGAAAAACCCCGAAAGCCTCATGCTCTCGGGTCCAGCAAGAGCGAAGTAAGGAAAACTAAACGACCAAATGACCGCCACAGTGTTGCTTCGTTTCGTCCTTCATACCGAAGCGTGGTCTCGCATGACGGCACTGTCAGTAGCGGTAATCGCAGCAGCTCGTTGTCATCACTAACATGTCCATCTCGCGGCCAACCCTTCTTCTTGCATCACCGCGGTCACAAACACGACATGGCATGCAAGAACCTCGCTCGGCACGGCGCAAATGACGAGTCTAAAACGAGTGCAAGATTTTTGCAGCGTTCTGAAGACGGAACAGTCGACGATGGCATGAGACTTCTTCACAGGAAATGCTGCGTCGTGAGTGGTGCTCCTGAAGACGACGTCTCTTCTGCCATGGGGGGCGCCGTGATCATGTGGCCATTGCGGCGTTCGTTCTCAACGTCGCCCACGCAGCAGAGTTCATTTGGCTGGGAGGAGGTTAGATATCGGCATGGCTTCCTTTGTGCTCTTTCTGTGTTTCTGCAACCTTTTGTTACTGAATGTAACTAAAGTTACCGGGAATTGTGATATGAATAGCGCTGACGTTGATTAATTTTTGTGAAGATAAATGGTTCGAGTCCAATCCACACCTAAGAAAAACTAGGTTGACATTGTTGAACACGACCATTTTATTTCAAATCAGCTATTATTTTTAACCAACTGTGTCCGCCCAATTACGATGAATGTTTTTCTTTTACAACATCTCACATTGCGAGATATTTGTTGGACCTCAAATTTGTTTAGTCCGAACTCTTTGTGCACTTCAGTAGTACAGCATTGTTATGCTGTGATGTCTTGGTGCTGTTGCATGTCTTCGTTCATCTTTGGTAGCGGCTTTTCTGCTACATAAAATGATCTTTAATTTCGATCTGCGTTTGTTTGCTTGATGTTGTCGTTTATTTAATTGGATCTTTATTATCACTTAGAAATCAAAGTGTGAGAAAATTTTCTTGCTAGTGCTGCATGTCTCACGGCCGTTGAAGTTCGCATTAAACCTGCTTTAAAAAATTGACCAGGCTGCTCTATTTTGTCTATTTTGAAGCTGAATCTTTCAAACAGAACATTTTATAAAAGTTACCTACACAAAAACGTTTGAACAGGGACAGGGTATTATCTTCTTCCGAATCCATTTATATTTTCATTATATTTGAGAGCAAACCCCATCCGAACATTAATCAGTAGGTATACCTATATCCAGTGTTAATTTTATTTTTCTTATTCTTTGTCTTTGTTGAACACTTTTGCAGCAAGGAATGATGAATTCATGAAAGGCTTATTTTCTACTGAACATCGAGAATCAGTTTGTTTTAGGATCACAAACTTGGAGAAGCTTCGAACTACACCCTCAATCATGGTACTATACTGACGCGGAAGGAGTGTTTCAAGGCAATTATTTTCAATATCAACGTTTTTAAATTTAATAGTATTGTATTTCTGCGTAAATATTGATGGTGCATGGTAATTAGAATATTTCAGTGAAATTTTATAACCGCATTATCAAAAAATCATACTGTTCAGGAATCGTCGTTCGTCGAAATGCAATGTGAAAACAATTTTAATTAAATGATTGTTGTCTTAAATTTTTAACAAGACTTGCTGTATTTTACCGCCGTGATTTTGATGCCAAATTATGTCGACCATTTAATTTTTAATGAATTTATATAAACGTTATTTAGTTGAAGAAAGTATGTAGAGGTATGTATGCATGCTCATTATGTGTGTGTATTTTTTATTCATGTTAAATAAACATGCGTTCATTACATTTTTTGTATTTCTATTAAAGAATGTTTAAAATATTTCTTACTACTATTCTACGATAAATTTTTTATCAGTTTTTGAAATGTGCACGTCTTTCTATATAAAATTTCCATTCGTATCTTAACTTAACCTAATTTCGCGTGTGTACGCTCGTTGAGCTGCTATTGATGTAGCTTTTGGGCCTCGACCTGAAAACGCGTAACCGTACTTAAAATTAATATTATAATAAAAAATATATTAGTAGAATATTTTTAGTATCACCGTTGATTTGCTTGCTCATTGTCTTGATTTTTGTGTTCTCTTAAACTTCTCGATCTTTGTTTTCTCTTAAACTTCTTAGCGTGTAATTCATGCTTCATTCTCATGAGCGGACATCGAATCTCTCGTCCCTTTTCATCCCCATTAAAGAGGCGGCAATTCCCCACAAGGTCTCCAATTTCCCAATACAGAGGTGCATTTCCCTCATTACAGAATAATCAATTCCATCGTTTGTGGGGTAAATTCATCTTTTCAATTCTTCAAATGAACGTCTGAATGAAGAACTTAGGAACAGTGCTCGCTATTGACATATATCGACCAATTATGCGTCTTTGAACATAGTCATCCAGACAATTGTATTAACAATACTATGATGAATGATTATTTTTCTTCTATGATTCGTTGTCAGTACATATCTCCGATCATAACATATCGCACACACATTAATCACGTGCACAAATTATCCATTTTTTATTACACAAAGCCATCTTGTTCTTATCGAGTTATTTGCTCCCAAAAAATATATGACATAATTCATAATTATTTCATTGTCATAACAATTCGTGTTATAATTACTTTTTGCGTGTGCTTGCAGACAAAAAATTATTTTTCGCGCACGAAATGTAAGAAGTTGAACTTGATCTTCTTGAAACGGTAAACTTTAAACGGTAAAATATTTAATTGTTAATTCGCCAGCATCTTCATCTTGATCTTTTTGAAACAAACATTTCCTGACAGCAGGCTACAACAACGTAGTGATTGCGTGCAGGGAATCATCTTTTTAGAATATTTTATCTATAATATAAATACGTTTCATATATATTGTTTTAGCGCTTTGTGAATGAGGAATCAAGCTCGGAGTGCAGCAAGTAAGCTGTGCAGGCCTCGTGAGGCCAGGAGGTGTGAAGCGGTCTGTACCTTAATTAGCAATTGATGTCTGGTATACAATTAATGACAATTTATATCTGTAATACAGATATTAATTGTTGTTGATGTAAACACTTGACGTGTGTGTAATGCATCGGAACCTATCATGTACACCAGAACCCATCATGTACCCCAGAACCCATCATGTACCCCAGAACCCATGATGTACACCAGAACCCATCATGTACCAGGTGCGACGCTTGCGCCCACCTCGTCTTCACCGCCCCCGTCACCTGCCGCAGTCAGTTCCTTAATCATTAATTAATTATCTACACCAGAATTATTTATTGATTAATTAACATAATAATTATTAATTAAAAGAAATTATTAAATTAAATTAAATTATCAATTAATTATTATTAATAATTATTAATTATAATTATAATTAATTATCCATCATATTATATTATTTAATTATAATATTATTATCATAATATTATAATTAGTTTAATAATAATAATATGATATTCCAGCTCCGCGTGCCGCTAGTTCATTACAGACCAATATTTCTGCTGTGAGTGGCTGCTGCAAGCGCTGTTAGTTCAATAATTTTACCATTTCATTACAGGAATATTTTATAAGTATTTCTGAAAATCGGTCACAGTAACGGTAAGTACAATTGCTTGCTGAATGCCTATTTGTTCGCAATTGATTTTTTTTTTTTTTGCGAGATGACCTGGGAGATAATCAAGTGTCATTGTATTATTTAAAGTTCACTAGAAATACAATGTTGCTGTTGCCTTCTTTAGTCATCTGATTTTTTATCATGCGAGAAGTTCTACAAGTTTGCTCGTGTGGCCAGTTTTACACCTTTCAATTTCTGATCGATCTCAGTTGAATTACACCATTCTCTTCTGGAAAAGAACGTTAAAGTAACTTTGATTCAACCTAGCACGTTTAATTCAACGTTTATTAGACTTCAGTAGTCTTGTAGGGTGTTATCTTTATCTTGAATTAGTTCCCATATAATATGTTTCAAGTATTGCTTCGTATATGAAATTAGTTGTATCGTCAAAGTAACTTTGATTCAATCTATCACGTTTAATTCAACGTTTATTCCACGTCAGTAGTCTTGTAGGGTGTTATCTTTATCTTGAATTAGTTCCCATATAATATGATGTTTCAAGTATTGCTTCGTATATAACATTAGTTATCGCCGTGCTAGTGCTAGTCAGGCGCGTGCCGCCGTGGTGCGTGGATGTCGTCGCGCGCTGTCCGACAGCAGCTGCAGCCGGTGCTGCCGTGTGATCGTGTTTAACCTTCTCGGCTATTTAATTAGGCTCGAGTTTGAATTATTTCACGTGCTGATCGTGATTTTTTTATTCATACATATTGCAAGCAAATACGTAAATACTACGGTGTTGGAAAGGAGAAAATTGTGTTCAACATGATTTATAAACATGTATAAAAGTGAATTTTTCGAAATTTCGTTAAAATTTGATATTAAGGTTCTTATTTTCTGAATACCTACGACTGAAACTTGTGCGTTTAACATGTCACTTTGCAAAATCGGAATCGAAGTTTGTTGTGCGGCTTCGAATTTTTACCCGTTCAGAAGCATTTTTCTGAATCCTTGAATTTGCTGAATGTTTTGGGAGCATCGCAACCCGTCGAGTGCCAGCGGCTTTTTATCCCTGCGTGTGACGAATGTTCTCGATGACCCCTGAGAACGCGAGTAATAATTAANCCCCCTCTTTTGGGACCTCTGTAAGCCTCTTACAATAATTTTTATTGTTAAAGTTAAAGTTTAGCTTTAAAAGTTTAAAAGTTGAAGGCTTTAGCTGCAAACATTTTTATTGCATTCAAGTTTGAATGGGAGATAATAGACCGGTGAACTAATTTCCATAAGTTGTTCATCCTGTGATTTTTGCTGCCTTGGTTATTTTAGAAATAACTCATTTATCCGAATTGTAGCGAAAAATATAAAAAACTATTGCCTAGTCTTTTGAAATGTGATCATTTTATTAGTATTTAATGGTTCATAACTTATAACTTTCTTAATTTACCTGGATCGACTTTGGCATTTCATGCCTATTAATAATGCTTGTTTGTATTGTAGTTGAAATTAGGATCATATCTAATCCGAAATAACTTTATTAAATTCATTCAGAGTTAATTTATTCAATGATATGTATGGTATTAAAGACTTGACGATGTGCGTTGGTTTTTACTTCTAAACTGATATTATTCACTACCGCTTTTATATTGTTGTTCACTTGTCTTGTTCAATTTAGTCGAACAAACGCTGCTTTCACTTTTCCATCAGATCTATCGTTCGGTTCTCTTAAAATTCAATCTTGCTTATCAAAACCTCTGTACAGTACATGCTTCGCCGCGACATAAACTTTCTTCAGACTTCTCATGTGGCTTCGACATCCCTAGCGACTGATGTTATATGTTGTTTTTGTTTGTCTTCATTTCGTCCAACTGTGAATTTTCATGGTTGAGAGTGAGATTGAGGAGAATTTCCACGTTGTGTGATATTTTGTGTTTTTATACGGTTTTTCTTGGTTTTTCTCCGCAGAACTATGGTAGGAACGTAAATTTGTCCAAATAATCAAATCAAGTTTTTGGACTGCATGTAAGAAATGAACAAGTTATCATATTTCTTCTTATTTTGATTGCTATGTATAAAGGAAATACTTGTAATTCAGACACTTTTACTATTCATATTTAGATTTCATATTTTTTATAAGCTAATGACTAAATCATCAGTCATTATTTTAATTAAAATAATTACTGTCCAAAATATAAAAATCTAAATTACAGCAATGGCAGTGCAGTGTCTGGCAATCTGTGTGTCGTGCGGTTACGCTCCGAAATCTGTTTTAGTGAAAATTTTCATTTTCACTAGAATATTTCTGAAAGAAAAATGCCTTGTTTAGTCTAACAGCCGCAAACCCGTGCTAAAAATGGGGAAATGCCAAGATGCGGACTATCTAGTTTTCTATCTAACTTCTGTAAATTGCTAGTTTTCACAAGTTAGCATTTGGAGCCTCTAGGTTAGATGTGAGATTTTGTGAGTCAACTCTGCATTGGTTCAAGTACCTTGTACAGCAATATTGCAGGCCTGTGTCGCAATAGTTCTTATGTACTACCTACCTACAATCATTGAGAATTAATTCGTCATGGCGATTACAGTACCGGAGTGTTTAGCTGTCGTGAGATTATCCCATGGCTCTGCCACCAAAAGTTTGGTTTAGGTGAGTTTGGTGGGATGGGTCTCGCCGAGAGCACCGTAGGGCGATGGTCCGGACCTACTAAGTCGCGCAGCGTATCCCAGTTCACCAATGACCATAACTATGATGACCGAGCACGACACTGCGCCACTCTGCCCAACCGCTCGTTCGGCAGCAAACCTCCTTCCCCCAAACTCAGTAGTTCGCAACACAACACCCTTCATCGCCGTAACAGGAATGGATCTCGCAGCACAAGTCTACATGCTCAGAACGAATCAGAAAAATCGACCACGAGCGAAATCCGTTGTCCGGACGATCGCGGTCGCTCTGTGATGCGCGGACAGCGTGCGCGCTCCGCCGGCCGACGACGATCTCGATCTACGCATCTTTCGCTGCAGGTGTCTCCTCAGAATACGCCCGTAACATCACCAGCTGCCCCTTTTTTACGTGACAACAGACATACGCATGTATTAGAAGCTTCGCGTAACAGTCCGCCCTCTAAACACAGACATCGCCAAAACAGTAAAGTCCGTAATGATTGTAAATCGAAGAACCGATCAAGTGTTAGAGAAGCAGCAAGTGCAATCGAAACGACTTCTCCACCGCGGTTGGAGAGTCATAACGAGAAGCCTAAGAAATTAAACAGAAGATCACGTCCGCTAATGGATTCTAATGTGGGTCTTGGCGACGACCCAAGAGTGTGCGTAGAAGAGGATCGTTCGATACATGCTCCTGAGCATGCAAGACGTATGACCGTCTACAGAGACTCGACTAAGACTCGACCACGCCCCAGTGCTATTTATGTGCCTCATGACGATGCCATCCAAACTGTGATAGATATTGCGCCTGTTGATGGCCGACCGAACGTCCTAAGTTCTTGTATTGTACCACCGCTGCAGAAAGATTCCCCGAATCACGTTTCGACTTTCACATTGAGTGCCGTGGCACTGCGTAACAAAGATACAACAGGCGCTTCGCCGCACCATGAATGTGATTCGCCTGTGACAGAAAGTTCGTTAGTATCCACCAACGTTTGTGAGCGCAATGCCAAATCTGAAATCGAGCTTGATAACGAGGACAGTAAATCATTATACATGAAGTGCTCAAGTGTCAGCAGTGCTCAAAGACAGGTTCCATCGCTCACGTCTTCCTATCTCATGGCTTCGGCAGGTACTCAAGACAGCGAACCTGTAGGTACAAATGAAATACATGGTTCCGAAAAATCGGAGGTTCATATTCAGTTACGGAACATGCGAAGCGATAATAACAACGATAATTTTGCTAGGAACTCATTTTCTGATGCAGTTGAGGTTCAAGCAAATGTTTGGTTCCAGTCAAGACCCAACCAATACTCCAGGTTCATTGAGCTCGACAGAGAGGACCGTTCAGATCTCGCATTGACACGTCACTCCAGTTCAGCTTCACCTGCACCGCAGATCGACTTTCCCGCTAAATCTTCTGAATCGGAAACTAAACTACGAAGTCGGCGTAACGTCAATGGCGAAACTGAAGCGCAACACGGAGCATCACGATTTGATTTTATTGAACCTGGTCTAGAATTTTACTCTCCAGGCTTCTCAAAGGACGATTCCTGGTTGGATTCCCACATAGAAGCACGCATTTGCGATGGTCGCGTTCAGTATTACGATTCTAGACACGTAGATTATAGTCGTATACCATTTGTGTTTAACGATGATCCCAGCTACCATTGCACCGAAACGTTTTATGGAGAGTTGCTTCATCATCCCGATGTTTTCTCGTACGTGCCTTGTTGTTCTAGTTCTTATGTACCTCGTTTCGAAGATGCATCAATATCTTTGAAACGTTCATACTTCGGTACCACTACCAGAGATTTATTGACTGCTGCTGATGATACAAATGCTGCTACAACCATGTTACCGATGCTCGTGCCAAGCAAGCTTTGCAGTAAAACGCATTTGCGTAGTGGGAGCGATCGTTGCTCTTGCCAAGATGGTTGCGGCCACATGCTTCGCACCGACAAAAACAGAAATGGCCGGTGCAACTTCTGCGACCAAGCCAACTATGACTCTGATCAGAGCAT